TGGAGTCCACTTTAAAAGTTGGCATTTAAGAGCTCCAGTTTTGTAGATACACTTTATGTAAATGTTGCTGTATAGCACATCTTTGCTGTACATTGAGGGCAGTACCAAACAATAAAATCCCATCGCGTCCAATATCAACACAGCTTTCTGAATTGCACCATAATGAGACAACGTATCCAAAAAGCACAACATACTGTATACATCATCAGTCAAACTGAAAACGTACGAACGCAGCTTAGTAGAGGATGTCTGGTAGATGACCTGGATTCTTTGAAAAGGGAACTTTAAAAGTTTGCCACCCACCTAATATGTCATCTTCCACTTTTGTCTCAGATTTCTCCAAAACCTCCAGCACCAGCATGGACAGATCTGCTGCACTGTTTTGCTGTAAAGCAAAAGACAATCAACTTTATTTTCTAACTCTATACTGCCACAAAAAGTTGTGAGAAAGGCCTAATGAATGCAGTGAACATGAATTTATCATCTAACTGATACAGAACTGTGTGCACTCTCAGGCTGGAAGGTGTAAGTCTCTGCATGCACACAAGAATATTTATTTACATGTATGGAAACCTGATGATTAATAGTAACCCATATGTGCAACCACCATCAAACCCCAGTTTATATGCTGTTTGCTTAGTATATGTTATCATCAGCCCTCTACACTTAGATTAATCACAATCAAAAGTTTCCAATCTTGCAGGCAGAGCTTCACTGTTATTCTTTTATTATATTTACACAACTTGGGGTATTAAATACAGTCAAATTGAACTACTTTTCAACATGATATTGCTTTTGAGAAAAAAAAACTGGAGCAGCATATACCTGGTTATAGCTGAAGAAGAGCAGAGCACCATTGTACATCAGCTCCCTGGCCTCAGCATGTTTTGCCTGTGACATGTACCTATAGAAAAACAGGCATATCAGCACGACACATGAGATGATACTATCAGCTTATCAAGACTCGCACACATTTGCTGGCCTCACTCATTTGCATCAGCTGAGATACAAAACAAACTACGAATGTGAATATGACATTAGGTATATTAACTTTCTTGCACACCACAGGTCAGCTATAGTAACTTTAGACTGGCTGTCTTGCATTTTCAGGAGTTAAAATAACAATTATTAGTGTCAGTACTGAGGAAGATCAGGCCAAAGAAGTAGGAGAGTACCCAATTAACTCTGTGATAAGCTTTAATTAGATCTGAACAACACAGTTAAACTGTGCTAGAGGCAAATGGTCACGAATATGACAGCAAAACTAATCTTTTCATGACCATAAATAGCAATCAGGTTTTAAATGATGTGGCAACACTCAGTTATGATTGTACACCCTTTAATGTGTAACCGCTCCTTAAATAAATAAGAGACAGAAAGGAACAACTTTTACTAGGCTTATCCAAGATGCTGAAAATTTGGCAATGTCAGTGTAAGCAGCTCTAAATCAAGACACAATATTTATACTAATCAAACCCATGTCGAGCAACCATACCCCAGACTGCGGCGGAGCAGAATGAGGCTACCTGGCTAAATGCTAACACAGCTGGACTGACTCAACTAACACGTTTCGGCAGCGACAGACGTTAACAAAACACTTATCCGTTCCATTCGTGTGATTTGCCGATTACCAATCTTTTTCAATAATGTACAAAAAAAGACTGTCTAACTGTCTCGTATTGGTAATCTTGCTAACTCGAATTCGGCTATCATTAGCTTGCTGGTAGTGGTGATGCTAAACAGCTAACTAGCTGTAGTAAGTTAGCCGTCCCGTTTTGGAAGATTGAAACGACGTCTGTCCAAACAAACACACGGACCGACAGGAGTGGGCGGGTCCACAGTGAAATCCAACCAATCAGACACAGGCAGGTGTAGCAGCAAGGTTGACATCAGAATGATCTGGAACAGACAGGCCTCGACGCCGAATGACAATTACAACCAAAGCTAGCAGCCTAACACGGAGTCTTACCTAAAAAATAAAGTCCTGTACATCTGGTGTGCTTCATAGTAGTCCCCCTTTTCTACACTGGCTCGCAGTTTTCCTTCCACCCTCTGTACGCCTCCACGGTTCCTGGCACTGGAGCACCTCAGAGACTCCTGCTCCGACATCGTCGTTCCTCCACAACGGTAGCAGCACTCTGTGCGACTGTTGACACAGCGAACCCGGAAAGCTTTAAGCGCTACAGACCCTCGTGGGTCGCCGTAGCCGGTGTGTTGTGGCGATTTGGTTGGAGACTGTGGGAACATGGACGGATTCCTGAAACCTTGTGACCAGCAAAGCACCTTGAAGGCAGCATGGTCGGGATAAAATTGAGATTAGATAGAATATAACTAAACGGTGAAAGTGGCGGTCATGGCCACTGCCTGAGTAGTTTCTCTCTTTGGGGAAGTATTGTTATTTATTGTGGTGGAAATAGTTGGTAAAATAGTGTTCAATATGCAAGTTTATGTCCTCAAAGATATCACTTAGGAGCTTTATTAAAAAAATAACACATGTACTTGCAGTGTGTCGGAAATAGTGCCTCTCTAGAGAAACAGAAAATATGAAATAAAAATCACACAGCCCAAATTGTAATTTTATTTATTTATTTGTTCTGTTTTAAATATATTTACGTGGATGCATAATTTTGTATGGGCATATATATATAGGTAGTTAACATTTGTACAATATATAATATTGCAGGGTTTTAACCTTAATATTTAAATTTGTTGGGAAAATTTGCACAGTATATAATACTGTAGGGCTTTAACAATTACATTAAACTTAGTAAGGTAAATTTGTGTAACTAAAGTATTGTAGAGCCTTATATTATTTAAATTAGATCTGTGTGATATTGTAGGGTGTTAACTTTAATATCTATATTTTTTTCAATGCATTTGTATAATATATTGTAGGGCCTTAACCTTAATAGTTTAGGGACTCAGATAAATTTGTATAATAAAAAAATGCTATAAGGTTTTCAGACTAATATTTAAATAAGTGAAGGAACTTTGTATAAAACATAGTACTGTAAGGACTTTACCTTTAAATTAATGAGGTAAATTTGTGTCGTATGTAATATTTTAGGTCCTAATATTAATATTGAAATTAGTTAGGTCAATTTTTATGTTATGTGGTATTGTTGGGCTTTCACCTTAATATTGAAATTACCAAAGCTAATTTATGTTATTCAGTTGACGCCACAAGTTTACATACACTGTATAAAAAGACATATAACCATTATTTTTTTTCTCACCGTCTGACAATAAATCAGACAAAAATGTTCCTGTTTTAGGTCAGTTAGGATTACCAAAATGATTTCTTTTTTCTAAATACCAGAAGAATGAGAGAATTTTTAGAGAATATTTTATTACTTTCTTCAAAGTCAAAAGTTTACATACATTGCCTTTGTACTTGGCAGCATTGCCTTTAAACTGTATGACTTGGGTCAAATGTTTTGGGTTTCCTTCCACAAGCTTCTCACAATAGTTTGCTGGAATTCTTCCCATTCCTCCTGACAGAACTGGTGTAACTGAGTCAGCTTTGTTGGCCACCTTGCTCCACGCGCCTTTTCAGCTCTGCCCACAAATGTTCTCCAGGATTGAGATCAGGGCTTTGTGATGGCCACTCCAAAACATTGACTTTGTTGTCCGTAAACCACTTTGTAACTAATTTGGTGGTATGCTTAGGGTCATTGTCCATCTGAAAACCCATTTGTACCAAGCTGTAACTTCCTGGCTGATGTCATGAGATGTTGCTTCAATATTTTCACATAATGTTCTTTCCTCATGATGCCATTTATTTTGTGAAGTGCACCAGTCCCTCCTGCAGCAAAACACCCCCACAACATGATGCTGCCACTCCCGTGCTTCACAGTTGGGATGGTGTTCTCAGACTTGCAAGCTTCCTCCTTTTTCCTCCAAATGTAACGATGGTCACTATGGCCAAACAGTTCAATTTTAGTTTTATCAGACCACAGGATATGTCTCCAGAAATGAAGGTTTTTGTCCCTGTGTGCATTTGCAAACTGTAATCTGGCTTTTTTTATGTTGCTTTTGGAGTAATGTCTTCTTCCTCTTTGAGCATCCTTTCAGACCATGTCGGTGCAGGACTCGTTTCACTGTGGATAATGACACTCTCTGACCAGCTTCAGCAGCATCTTCACAAGGTCTTTTGCTTTTATTCTGGGGTTTATACGCACATTTCTCACCAAAATACTTCATCTCTGGGACACAGAACCCGTCTCCTTCCTGAGCGCTATGATGGCTGGACATTCACATGGTGTTAATACTTGCGTATAACTGTTTGAACAGATGAACCTTCAGGCATCTGGAAATTGTACCCAAGGATGAACCAGACTTGTGGAGGTCTACAATTCTCTTCCTGATATCTTAGCTTATTTCTTTAGATTTTTCCATGTTGACACAAAAGGAAGCAGTGTGTTTGAGGTGTGCCTTTAAATACATCCACAGATGTCCCTCCAGTTAACTCAGATGCTATCAATTAACCTACCAAAAGCTTCCAAAGCCATGACATCATCATCATCTGGTCTTTCCCAAATAGTTTGAAGACAAAGTAACCTTAGTGAATGTAAACTTCTGACTTTGAAGAAAGTAGCAAAACAAATCTCTCTCTCATTATTCTGACATTTAGCAAATAGAAATAATTTTGTCAATCCTAACTGACATAAAACAAGAAAAGTTTAGTCTGATTTAACGACAGATAGTGAGAAAAAAAAAAGGTTATATGACTTTGTATACAGTGTATGTACACTTCTGGTGTCAACTGTATATATTATTAGACAAATTTGTCTCTGCCACTCTCTCACTACTTCAAGGTGAAGACCCATCAACTACTGTAGACTCTTCACCATTTTCTTCTTTATTTCCTGAAGTGTGGCAGACACATTTCTCAAAGGCTGCTTTATATCATGTGTTCATCTTGTGAGAATACAAAATGTAGCCTACCTGTAAACACTTGACATAAAGGTCTGACTTGCTTTATTTTTTTCTTTTTCAACAATATAAAATACCCTCTACAACAGGGGTGTCAAACTCATTTTCACCCTGGGCCACATAAGCATTATGTTTACCCTCAAAGGGCCGGTTGTAACTGTAAGACGGTATAAATGCAACAACTCCTTAACATATTGTTAAATAATTGTCTCCGCCTTTGATTGTTATTTATCATATGTACAACTATTGTGCATGCCTTTATCTAAAAGTAAAACACATGTAGCAGGGCTCCAGACTAACTTTTCCAATGGTAGCACTGGTGCTGCCAACTTTCTTTGTTAGTTGCACCAGCTAATGATTTGGTCGCCCGCCCCCTTGTTTTGGTTCAGCACTGCCACAACTATTAATGCACCATGCAGCTGATGAACAGTTGTTTTTGCATAACTTAGTTATGTTGCAGTGATTTTCAGTGATACAAGACTTAATATTTGTAAAATGTTTTAACCTGAAAATATATTTATTTTGCCACCAACCCTCCTCTGATATCAGTGTTTCTTAAGAATGGAAAGGATGTTTGTCTATAGAGTTGTCTGTAATGAAGCTGTTAACATTGGTGTATGTGAGTTGTGAAAACTAACACTGATGAAGTACTGTAGTATTATTTTTTTAATGTTAAATTATTTATCTCAACTTAGATTCTCGGTTTTTACTGGGTACTGTAGTAGTAGATAATAGTGAAAAGAGTACCAGTAGTAGTTTTAAAAGCGAAATATCAACTGATGGGCCTCGTATCTGTAGCGTGGTGGCTGATGTAAGTTATTCTAGTCCATGACAGATACAGTGCCCCAGTGCTGTGCATCGTATTTAAAATATATGTCCAGTAAAAGACAATTGCTAGAACATTTACAGGTTTAACTATTAATCCTAACAATTTCTGAATGTTTGTCTGAAGGTTTAGCTCGCTGTTTTATCTACTTGTAGCAAACAGTTCCAATTGTTAATCCATACTGTTAGTTAATCAATAGATTCAATTGTTAATGCACACTGTTGACTAACAATGTTGAACTGTCTGTTTGAATGTGTAACTAAAGGAGAAAAAGGAAGTACTATAAGTATAAGTGTTGGAAATCAGGATGCGTCACAAATCGCTGACAGTGAAACAGCTGTTGATGTTTTTGAGGGGAGCTCTAAACACCGTGTTTATTGCTCCATATTTCCGAAAATGAGACAGGTTCTGATTGCTATCAGCTGCTCTCTCCTGCTGCTACCTTTGTGTTTTGGTTGGTGACTTGAACATTATTTTAAATCATGTTTTAGAGTAGCCTCTGGTTCAGATTCTTTGCTAGGAAAGAAGCATCTATCTAACATTTTGTGTTTTTTGTCTCTCAGTATTAGCAGATATTAAAGCTGCAATTGAAAAATGTGCAGTAGGAACTCTGGTCCTTCAGGCAAAGGATGGACCCTAATAAAATGCAATTTTAACTCCGTTACATCTGGAATTCCTATCAAGTCTGCAGTTAAATACTGAGGGATTACTATAGTTAAAGATCAGACGACAAGAATCACAAAAAACCTTGATCCACTGATCCCCTCTTTGCAACAGAGATTTAATTTGTGGCTGCAGAGAGACCTGACTATGACAGGTTGAGTTCTTCTTTCCAAAACTGAAGGTCTATCTTGTTTTGTTTATGTACGCTCAGCTCTTGATGTCCCTAACAGCATTTGCACAAAAATGGATCCAATTCTTTTTTATTTATTATATGGAAGAAAAAAAATCTCATCTTAGTAGGAAGAATGTTTTGGTTAACAGACTCATTTCAGGTGGTTTTAGTGTCTTAGACTTTAATACCTTACACTCTACCTTCAAAATTAAATGGATAAAAAGATATTTAATAAATCCAAACTCAATTTGGAATTGTATTTCCACACATATATTTAACACCTTGGGTGGCCTCAACTTTTTAAGGTGTAATTACAAAATAGAAAAACTTCCTATTAAATTATCTGATTTTCATAAACAATTACTCTTATGCTGGACATTAGTTTATAAACACAATTTCTCCCCTCATAAAGACATCATATTAATCAGTATATCTGTTTCAAGCATAGGTCTCTGCTTTTGAAGAATTGGGTTGACTATGGGTTATTGTTTATCAGTTATTTAAGAAGGAGGGTCAGATGTTTGGTTATGAACATTTTGGGGGTGACTGTGCATCAGTCTGTATATAGTAAATATAAATGCTAGATACCAGAGCCGGCCTGAGGCATAAACAAACTAAGCACCTGCTTAGGGCCTCGGTCACAAGTAAGGGGCCCCCAAGAGCAGCTAATTTTCAAAAAATATTTGTACACTTTTATTATTAAAATCAGATTGCAATTTTTCATTTTTGACATCTAATATCTCAGTTAAATAAGTCGCTTTAAAGATTAAGTATAACTCAATCCCAGGCTTCACTTGTAGGTGAATTTACTACTATTTCAGATTATAAACCTGAATTTCCCTCTGGGATTCATAAAGTCAGTCTAAGATGGGTGAAAACATACCTGGTATATAAAAGGATGCTGTAAACAGCACTGCTGCTACTGTGCAGCTCTTTGAGCTTTTATTGCTTCTCTGTGTGGCCAGCAGGGAGAGTTGCTGACTTCTGCCAAATATTAAAGTTTTTTTGCTAGTTTGCAAAACTGCTTCAATGACCTTTTTCACTGTGGATTACAATCTAACAAGAAGTCTCACATCGAGTTTTATGAGTGTATTCGTTGTAACAAATTAGAAAATGAAATAAGTTTATTGTAGGTGTGTGAATGATCATTGTTCAGTGTTATCATCATTAGTGGAGCGCCCCAAAAGTCATGTTTTGCTGAGGGCCCCTTGGAGGCTTGGGCGGGCACTGGGTTAAAGTATCGTCTCTGCAGGAGACTCTGACAATGCTGGGCAGCTCCTCCAATCACAGGCTGCTTTGCCCGCCGCTCCTTCCTTCCTGCTGCTGTCAGGCATTACAACCACGTCTGCTCCCAGTAGACATCACACCGAACAACACTTCTTTTTGATGCAATATCAACACATTCATAGCTGTGGATTATGAATATTTTGGACATCTAAAAACCCTGTGCAATATCTATTTTCTACATATACTAGAAGATGTGCAATGTTGTTTTTCTGTGTACAGACAAATCTGTGCATTATAGAAACAAGTCTGTGCAATACCAAGACTTCTCTCAGTGTTTCTATTCATGAAAGAATCTGTGTGATACCACTGATATTTGCAATGATGTTATTTCTAGAAATGTACTTGCAAATTGTGGTTTATTTTTATTTTCTACTTACATTCCTTAAATGTTTGCACAAACAGCTTGTCTCATCTTTTCTCTTTTAACCATAAAAATGCATACTAAATACCAATATCAAAGGACAGGTACATCATGTTAAACTACAAACAACAAACACATGCAGTTCTAATATGTTGTCTTTTTATTTATTTGAGGCTCTCTTTTTGCTCTTTGATCAGATCAAGCATTTGTGGAGGAAAAAACCTCCCGTCGCCAGGAAGTTAAAAAAAAAAACTCCAGTTGGGGTGAGGATAAAGAGGAGGGAGAGAAGACTTTGGAGGCCGCTGAGGCCACTACCAGCAGGTCAGAAACGTGGAGCTCCAGATCCAGAGATACCTGCACAGAGGATTAAAGACAAAGTCAGTGACGTACACTGATGGCATCTAATTGTACAGAAAGAGAAAGAGGAGTTAGAATCTGTAATTCAACAAAACAGAGAGTCTTTAAAACAGGAACTGGTCAGAAAGTTACAGCTATAAACTGTTGAAAAACCTTCATTTCTTATTCTGATTCCACCTCAAACAGTAAATCCTAAAGTCCAGATTCAGACACACTCATATTCAGCAGCGATGCATCTACACAGTTCCACGTATGAAAACAAATCATTTTGAGCACATGAGCACAAAAGAGCAGCAGAGTTGAGACCTACACCGCTGTCTGGAGAGGATTCATCAGTCAAACACGCCTATGACATTCTGACGTTGCCTTTTTTTTAAGGCACTAACAATTATTATCAGAGCTTGAAACACCTGCTGCTTTAAAAGGATCTCACTTTTTCAGAATACTCACTGTAGGCCTATTTGATCTGTATTTCTTGGGAAGTTTCCGAAAATTGTTCAAAGTAAATGTCTTTGACTTTAACAAATGAAAACACATTACATAACAATGTATAAGCATACACTTCAGCTAATGATTGTTAAAGTCTGTATGGCACTTCAACATGTTTGTATTTCATTGTTGTATTTACACTTCCTTGGCTGAAAATGTATCAGTGGAACATGGCAAACATAACAAAAGAATTCAGCCCTCTAGAATGTAATAAAAGCATTGATTATACTTTAAAATATGCATGATAACACGGAAACACACTGATGTTGGGTTGAATTAGAGACCAGAAACCTGTAGCTTCCTCTGGCCTCCTGAAGTTCACAGAGTTGGCCACTAGAGGGAGCCACAGACTGAGCAGCCAGCTGTATATAGCCAGCTTTAACAACTGCAAAGCTCCACTTCCACCTTTATCAGCGTCTTCCAGGTAAATATTACAAATACTACACTGGGGGCAGTGTTCTTGCGTGACATTTGATAGATTCCTGCCACAGAGGAGCGGTATAAACCCGTGGGAGCGGCGCTGTGGAGGAGGAGGAGGAGGGTCTGTGCGTCCCACGGAGAGGAGGGTTTTCCGGGTAAAGTTTCCTTTGTGATTCGGAAGTGGTGGTGTGATGCCAAAGCCGTTTATCCGTACAGACACAACACACAAGTGGCGAACATGATAAGTAAGCATAAATATATAGATTAAATAGATATCTTGAGAGCGATAGCGCCCTTTTGTAGTGGGAGAGGGAGCCGCAGCGTGACAGACGCTGAACGTGTAGCTAGCGCTTAGCGGTGATGCCTGGCTGTTATGCTAACAGTAGCTAGCTAACTTGGGGTGTCTGAGTGCAGTCAGCAGGGAAGCCGAGGAGGTTTCACATGTAGCCGGTGCTAGCATTAAGTACGGTAATGTAGTAACTGCTAAGCTTTTCACATTCGGTATGTCGTCGGTGTGCGCTTTTACACAGTAACCCCACTTTGGCTCGCTTTGAGAATGTTAACTCCCACCCAGACGAGCTAACAATAGCTTAGCATGTCTGTGTGTTTTGGACAGTGACAGCTGTAGGCTGCGGCCCCATGACATCTGTGTAGAGGCCTCCTGAAATTCATCTGTCCCTCATTATCAGTTGCCACTCGTCTTTCTAAAAATCTATGTTACATTACCAAGTACAAAGCCGTTTTTTGCACATGCCAAACACAGTGCTGCTCAGCATCATAATGTGTGGAGTAAGTCTGTATAGATTGTCAGACATCCAGGTCATGGTAAGCCGAAGAGCTTCAGTAAAAAGCAACTGCATTTCTCTTTTTGGTTCCTGAAGATGTCTTCAAGAGAAGAAAAGCACTTAATTTTTCTGAAGCTTCAAGGGATGCTGAGGATATGAGAGCAGCAGAGAAATATGGGTTGGGCAGGTTAAGGGATATAACCTCTTCTGAAGCTTTGCTCTTATTTTCTTCAACAGAACTGTTCACAGCTCTGTCCTGCTGAAATGGGAAAACAGCCTTTCAAGACTTTGTAATACAGGTAAGCAACAAGCCTCGTTTCCATCCATGTGATGTCAGGGCTGGTGTGGACCACATCCTTAACCTGTGTGCTTTGACCTAAAAAGCTGCTGAAATTGTTGGTAGTGGTTTTCCTGCATCTGAATGTTGTCGGAGCGTGTGCACCTTTGTAATTGTGATACATATCTGAAAGGCTAGTGTGGGCGTGTAGCGAGGAATGCTCTAGTGCTTGTATCTGTCTTGAGTGCATTGCACCAGAACAGTACGCTGTGCATGTTTGAACAGCTGCCATCTGTTGGGAGCGCTAGGATGAAGCAACTGATGTTGCAGTAAGCATCTCTGGGTTTTCATTTGAGGTTTGTCAGGTTAATTAAATGTGTAACATCTGATATCCAGGTCACTCTAGACCTGGGTTTTATTGTGCTAGATTGTGGCCTCAATATAAGCTTTAGAGATGAAAAGTCACACATACTTTCTCACATCTTGTTGACAGGAGATATGTATCTCACAGTGATGCTCTGTACCGAGACGGATATCACATGTTGTCCTGAAGAAGCCACTAACACTTTGTCTCACCGTCTTATCACACTCACTTTCACAGTCGCTGAGCATACATTTTGGTGTATCCGTTGTTTGTCAAAGTACTGAATTATTACAATTAGTTTGTCTCAATTCTTGCTTGTATTTAATTTTAGCACCACTTAGTTTGACTGTCAGGTTAGTTCGTCACTTTTCAAAACCAATTTCCTGCTTTTTGTTTTTTCTCAGTCTGTGTATAGAGGCTCATGCTTAACTCGACTACTTTTGGCTTTTGCCGTGTGTAACATGTGATTTGAAGTCTCTAATACGATGAGGTCAAGATCAGCATGCAGAGCTCACTTATGTCTGCCTGTGCTGCTGAGTCAGAGCTCTTCTTGGCAGCAGGTGAGGTAAATTAGCAGATACTCAGGGGGAGTGACAGTCTGATGCTGTCATGACACTGTAGTGGCACAGTCTTTCACAGTAGGATATCAGGCGGTTTGACATGTAAACAGGATGTTGACAGAATAACAATGCAGTTTGTTTTGACGTGTTTGTAACTTACACCAATCTGCCACGACATTAAATCCACTGACGGATGACGTGAACAGCATCTACAATCTCAGGACACTGCAGTGTTTTGCTGGGAAGCTTTGGGTACTGCCATTCATGACGATGTTACTTTTACATGTGCCACCTAAATGCTGTTGATAGGCACACCCTCCCATGGCAACAGCAATCCCTCATGAGAAACGCTGCTCAGGAACAGCTCGAGAAACACAGCAAAGAGCCTAAGGCTTTGACGAAGCCTCCAAACTTCAGAGATCTCAATCAGATCATTCACGAGATGCACTGCAACAAGGATCTGGTGCCAAATACTGGAGGTGTCCTGCTGGAAAGTGGGTTTCTATTGGGGCTGATCAGTGTATATACTTATTTAAAGTTATTTGTGCCATCATGTCTGTGTAATCTTCATCCCACACAAAATCATGCCGTGCTTATTCCATGTGACAGATTGACCCCGCTTCTATCAATGTCACATCTCATTATTAGTACAAATATTAGACTTACAGAGGCACACGGGGTGGTATTGCTGGGAAACAAACCTTAGTAGTTCTTCAGTCCTGATTACACTCTCCTGTGTCAGCTATCAAAACCAGGAATCAGATATCTACTGTTTTAAATCCTAATTTTGACACTTTTCAGTTGTATTTCATTAAGACCAAAGCTCCTGTACAGCTGTACGTGTAATCAGAAAATTTCAAATATTAAAAAAAAACAAACCTTTGTTTTTGTATTCAATTTAAAAAACGTTATATAAACTTGTTATATAGTCTTTAAAATGAGGTAGAAAACAAAGTAGGTATTGTATTTGATACCCATCTCTACGTGCCAGAAAACAGTCACATATCTTGGCTATGTGTTCTGCTTTTTAAAATCTACTTTCAAAGAAATGAAATGATAAATATTTACCATAGGGAGTAAGCCTGTTCACCTGTATCCTGATAGGTCTGCAAATACTTTTCACAGATCTGTTTAGATTTACCAGATAGAAGTTGTTATTATATTCATCAGAGAATGCAACGTGTCTAAACATTTTGAATCTGATATGATAAAACTTCCAGACATCCCTAAGGCCAGCAACATCAAGCGAAAGTTTAGTGTGTTTAGTGTTCTGTTATTCAGACATGTGCACCAGCGTTTGATTGTGAGAGAGAGTGTGACATCTCAGACAACACAGCCTCATTGTTTTCAGGCCTGCTGTGCAGTAATGACAGAATCCCCACCAGAACCCCACAACGAGAAAACACATATTTGCAGCGAGAGCAAGAGAGAGATCAACACACAGCACAGCAGCACGTCCTGCCTTTGTAAATGGCCATTAGTGACTAGCTGCCTGAGTTACCGGCCTGTTTAGTCCAAAGGAGTGTTTCATAAAGTGAGATAACCAGTTACACCAGGTTTGCTCCAGTAAATCAGGAAAATCTGTTTCAAAAAGTGGGTTTAAAAGGCAAGGCTCTAATCACAGACAGGTTCCAGGCTTAGCTTCATCTTAAGCTTTAGACGGTTATAATAGAAATATACCTGCCAGCTAAAACACAGTGTTTTTCCACTCATCACTGCTCTACTACAAACATAATTGTGAGTCATACTGAGTTCATGTTGGATTATTTAATACAACTGTGCATATTGGCTCATTGTCACACTGGGACAGTGATTGTTTGCTGTGTAAAGGGCCTGAGCAACATGTAATGTAAAACTAACCACACTGATTATTTATATCAGTTTTACTCATATAGGAGTCCACAACAGTGGAGCAACACGTATTAATGATTTTACATGAAATTGTCATATAGTAAGATGAAAATCGGCCACTCAATTAAACTTAATTTATACAGCACTCGTCAAACAAATCAAATGTACTTTAAAGTGCTTTGCAAACAACAAACTGACAAAACACAGGATGTCAAAAATAGATTTAGAGGTCAACCAAAATGTTTTTTTCCTGGTGTGATACTGACATTGATTGATAGTAAGCAAGGAGACCAATAACCAGTATTTGGTACTGATTATACATTTTACAGTAATAATGAACAACTTGGTGTGAAAATTTAAAAGAACACAAACAACAAAACAAAACTTTTTTGAAATGCCTTTGTTTATTTATGTTCAGCATGTTTAATTTAAAAAGAACTTTTCAATTATGTATTTTTTGCTCCATCAGAGTTTTTATGTTTCATGCTCAGTCTAACACTTTAATTCAGGGTACACAGAAAAGCTTACTTTGTTCAGGCCTACAAGGAGAGGACAGGACTTCAGAGTATCTCTGTTATATGCATAAAATGTGCTACATTTCTCTCTTTTCTGTCTTGACGCCTGAGTTAGTCTGGATCCACTATATGGAACCATTTAAGTCAAGCCGTTTACAGAAATCCCCATTTCAACTTTTAACTCAACTTTCAACTGCAATTTTATTGTCCCCAAGGGGGAAATTGTCTTGCAGCCAGATGCAACACAGAACGCATACAAACAGCCTATTTTATAGCTTCCTTTATGAAATGCCTCCAGCTTTGATGATGAATGGTTAGATTAGTCAAATGTATGAAATCACACTGAGCTTGTTAAGAAGTTAAAGGGAAAAAAACAACTTTAAAAAACCCTCTTTAAACTAGCGTCCACAGCAACTGCTGTAAAAGCTCAAACATGTAAATTCTTCCGTGATGGCTGATTTAATCCCTAGCCTACAGCCCTGCATTCTTCCTCTTTCCCCAGTTGTTTGTGTATGTGTGTGAGCAGGCCAGAGAGAGCAAAGTAGTCAGTTCCCTTGGACTGGCTCTTTTTGACTTGTTAAAGCCTGTAAAAGTTCCGTGGGTGCTGTTTATATGTGTTTTTAAAGCATGGCTTTGTTGGATCCTCAACTCTGATTGGCCAATATAGACAAGCCAATTTCCTACATTTTTCAAATACAGAGTAACTGTTTAATTGTTTATGCTTTGTACTGATTAAGTAATAAAGCAAACAATTTAATTGTTTTTAGACTCAAGGGCTTGTTGTCCAGAGGTTACAACGTTTTGCGCTGGCAAGTACAGTATCTAGCTAAGCGAAGCACAAACTGACTCAGGTGTAGTGTTGCTGCGCTGCTGGAGCTAGCAGTAAAAGATATGGGTTGCTTTTATAGTCCTAACTATTTATCTCATTTCTGTTAAATGGCCATAAAGACACTTTGTAAAGGGGAGTTTTTTTTCCATCCCACTGTCGTCAAGTGCCTGCTCAAAAGGAATCCAAAAGAATCTTCAGATTTGTTTGGGTTTGTCTGATTAAAATTAGTGAAGTGCTTTGGGTTAATATATGTAGTGAATAGGCACAACATAAAACAGTCTATCTGGTTATGTCCTTTATTCTCTGTGCTCAGATTTTTTGATGAGGAATTAAACATTTAATTTCACATTTTATTCCAGGTCTCTCCATCAACCTGGCAACGACAGACTCACACAAAGGGGAGGAGCCAGGTCCCAGCAGTATGGAGGTTGTTGGAGCGCCCGGTTCTGCCCCGAGCCCTCAGAGCGAGGCAGTGACCAACGAGCTTCAGGAGCTGTCCCTCCAGCCTGCTCCCAGTCTGCTTCCTCTGCAGGAGCGCAAGAATGGTGAGACAGTGATGCATGCGGACCCTTTGTTTTTTTAATTGAACACAGCTTGAACACAGATGAATATAAACAAATGAATACAACAAGGCCACAGTTGTACTTTTGGGTTGTTTTCGAAAGTTTTGACAGTGGTGCTGCGCCCTGGAGCCCTCTACTGCTAAAGAATAGGACAGCCATTGCCTGGCTCATCTACTTATGAGTATATCAAACCTTTGTTTTTGCAAATAAGGTTTGAATCAGTGGTGGTTTCTTGCTGCAAGACATCCCACACAGTGTTACTCACCTGCAGTGCTCCATTGTAGCTTTCAATGTGTATATGTTCTGCTCAAAGGATTTGTAATCTGGTGGCACACTGCACTTTTGCAGACATGTGGGGCACACTGTGCATGCGTTGGCATGTAGCGCTCAGCTCTACTGCCTGATTCTTTGGCTTTCAACACAAATCTTAACTAATTAGAGACAGACAACCAAGCACACTCACATTCACACCTACGGACAATTTAGAATCACCAATTAACCTCAACATGTTTCTGAACCGTGGGAGAAAGGAAGGGAGAACATGCAAACTCCACGCAATGTGATCCGGGGCGTCCTAACCGGGATGCGATCTTCTAGCTGCGAGGCGACTGTGCTAACCACGAGCCACCTTGCAGCCTTTACATCTCAATATATTAAGTATAATATACATTATTTTTAACAGTGTGGGTGGATATAAATCAGTGTTGTATTTACAAACATCCTTTCTGACCTCAGGAATAGTTTTGCTGTCTCAGCTGCTATTGGAATGTACAGGAAACATTTTACAGATCTTACAGACCAACACTTTTGCTTCTCCCTCTAGTGAATATTTTGACTTAGTACAACTCATCCTTCACAGAAGTGAACATAAATTCCTCCAAGCTAAAAAAGTGTGCTTGGAGAATATGTTACATAAGTTGAGGGTAAGTGGAAAGTGGAAAAAACACTTATCTGAGAGGCAGAAGTTAAATGTCAGATGTGCCTGTATGTCTCGTTCATTTTTCAGTAGAGATTACCTCACCACCGAGGGCACCTAAAGGCAAGAGAGACATAGAAACTTGAGTGCTGAGGTGAAGCTCTGTGCGTGTACGTGGAAAACTATGTGCGTTGAAGTCCTCATGAAGTAGGGAGTGAAGAAGCTTCTGCACCTAATTGGCTTGCTCCTCTGCGTTGACCTCCTGCTACAGTAGATTAGAGTGTACTGCATGTTTGCTCTGTGGACTTAACACTCTGTTGGTCTTTTTTTGTGTCTGGAGTTAGCTTGGAGAGCTTGGAGTTCTTGGCTCTCTGTGCGGAGACATGCTTTCTTTTGGTTGAATCATGGTGGAAAAGTTACGTTTCCCAGATTTATGTACTTCATTTGTTTAAGTTCCCACTGCCAAATTACAAGTGAGTCGGAGCATAAGAGTGGAAGTCGCAAGAAGTCAAAAATAGCTTGTCTGGACAGTGTTTTGGTAATATGTGTAATATTCCTTTTTGTAGTTTAGTTTTTTATTTGTGTATGGAAGTTAAGCATAATATCATCAGTCTGTTGCAAGGAAGACATGAGTGAACATAGACATATTAGGATAAACACATTAATTCACCTAGTTAATAAACAAAAATAAGCATTTTTTTTTTTAGATGATTGTTATGAATTGTGGCTTTTCTGATATGTGGATTTGTCGCTTGTCTTTGTCCTGATGCAGCTGTTCTGTGCCGCCTTTCATCAAATGGCATCATGTTTATCTGTGGTAGTAATGCAGTTCTCAGTTTCACTAAGTTTAGGCCAGAAATAATGCACATGAAATGAGTAATTGCACTTCGGTATGTGGAACTCAATGTCCTTAGCATAACAAAGCTTTAAATGTTTCCGCCAATAAAACACAATCAGACACAGTGAAAAAGATAAGCAGAGAAATCAAAGGATTGGCCCGACCTGGGATAACTGCTACTTAAACACACACACACAAACAAACACTTCTTGCCATATCAGAAGAGTCGGCCATATTGGTTATTGTTCTCTGGGTGTTGCCCGCCTGTTTTTTTGGAGGCACAGTTACTTGACATGCTGTTGATTTGTCAGGAGATTAAGTTTAGACAAGGTTGGACCAGTCAATGATTTACTGCCTGTAGGGCGGTAAATCCACAGTGGCAGGGAATAATGCACAATACCACATATAATAAAAATCAATGTTAGAAAAAGAAGTTGAGGCACAGTACAGCTAACTTTAAGACTGCAGTGGAAGTAATGAAAAGACAAGAAACATTGTTTATGCTACGTGAGCAATATTTCAAGTGATGTTTACATCATTTAAGAAATGTTTAAGTATGGTCCTGTGACTACTTGTCATACGACCATGTTTAGCTCACAGAAACACACAAAGACATACTCTCTGCCGTAGCCACAGGCCACCACTCCCAAATTTAAACAACCTCTGCTCTTGTTGGCCTTTTCCTTACACTTCATTCTGCTAGCTAGAAGCAGACATGTTGCTGCAGGCACTCCAGAAGACAGTCTAGCATGAAAATGCTTTTAGAGCACTGCAGAAATGCAGTGTTGTGACTCCATGTGCACATCAGTATGCACGTGTATAGAACACGATAAAGTACCCACATAGTAAAGCTTATCAGAGCTTTATCTCTGACACCAGCTTATGCAATGTGTTTACTGCACAAGGTTCCTTCCTCTGTAATGGATGAGTGCTGGGAGATTCATTGTTTAACACACATGTGTGTGTATATATAGAGAGAGGTGACTTGTTTTTCAGCACGAAAATCAGAGACAGATGTTTAGGTCTGTGTGCATTAGTGTGTTCGAGATGGAAAGAGAGAGTCATCTTTGATTCTAGACAAGAAGGCTGATACAGAAAGAGAGTGGCCTTGAAAGCAATTTACATTTCCTGTCTTCCCAGTTACAGAGTTGCTTCTAAAGTGTTCTGTAGCAAACAAAACCAGTCAAGCTATGATAATGTGATTGAGATCATTCAAAAGTTTGAAGTGGAGAAGCTAGTTTGAGTGTGGGAGTGTAGGCTGTAGCAGCAGCAGCAGCAGAAGAAGAAGAACGAGGATGGGGAAGTGGAGAGGGGGAGGTCATGTCTGTAATGGCAGTATTGCATAACCTCTCAGAGAGGGAACAGAAGGAAAACGAGGGAAAATGGAAAGCAAGAAAAGAGGGGGTGTGTTACTTGTACTTGAGGAGGTGAGGCTTGGCACCAGCACGTTTGTGTTCTTTTTCATTTTTTATGTGCAGAGGAGAGAATAAAAGTTTACTTCATTTTTTAAGAAGAGCTTTTAAAAAAAAGTACGCGGGAGCAGGAGAGAACAAAGGTGTAACCACAGAAAGACTGGAACCAAGGGGTGGACCTTGTTGTTATCCAAGGAGCAATAAGGCATAGACACACAGACCTACTCACGCCCTCTCTGTCGGGGCGTGCACACACTTGTAGACAGACAGTCCACAGAAAGAGAATGTGAGGTGCACTGCTACCTGTGGAGTACCAGCTGCCGGTGAGAGGAAAACGTGTTTTAATGTGGCTTTTTCTGTTGCTGGACTTTCCTTCAGCCTTCTACCGCTGTTGTGTTTTGTCACACATCTGCTGTGCTTGTGTCGGGAGTATGAATCGCTAATCTTTCCTGGAAGGTGAAGCTTCCCTTCAGCATGGTACTGAGGGATATTACTATCCAGTCAGGTAAAGTCCATTTCAGTCCACTGTCTTCTGCTTTCATGTCTTGCTTTGTCTTTAAAATATCAAAAAAACAACTGAATCTTACTCCTGAAGAAAGCTGAACTTGTGTCCGTAAATGTTTGGTGCAGACTTCATCTTGGTGTACTTTCTGCATGAGAAGGGCGACTTTGCATTCACAGCTGCAAAAGTTTAATATAACATTATTTTTCTCGAGCACTTATTATCAACTAAACCTGTTGGTAAAACAGTGATAGTTTGTATTTCAATTTATTGAAGTCTTATGTAATGATCTGTCATTACAGATTTTAAGTAAAAGCTTAAATTAAACTCTGAAGTTGCAGTGTAAACCGCAAGTTGCTGTAAAAGTAGTCAGCATCAGTTTCCGGTTCTTTCATGAGTCAGTTAGTGGAGATTGGACTATACAGTTATAAAATGAGTAAATGGAATCCAGAGGGTCCCCAGTACAAAGGAAACAGGCGGGGCTGTAAAGCCAGGTCTGCAGCAATGGGCAGATGTGGGTGTTTGGATGGTTGAGAGGTGTAGTTAAGAAGGAAAAGATAAATTGGGGTTTTTTTCTGCAGACCACCCTTCACCCACAGCAGCTGTCCAGCCAATGCACCACTTCTCCTTGAGGACTGACTGCAGGCAATGAGCCAGCATCCAGGCAGAGCTGGAGAGCTGGAGGTTAGCTGAGGGAGGAGGAATAGAGGCATAACCCGAGCTCAGTGACGGAGACTGAAGCTGGGGGGGAAAGTAGGTTAGAGACGTCCCAGACTCTGCTCCAGATTTATGTAGAAATGACCCACTCATTTCAGTCAGAACAGATTGTTCCAGATCACAACACGAAGACCAGAGACTAGAAAGTAGTTATTAAGTGATAAGTGCAACGAGACAGTGTGCCAGTAGTGTCTGCAGAAAGCACGAGCAGTGATTTTTAGTCGTGCTTGGATGTTTTTGTTTCAACCAGATACTACAGTTGTTGACTTCACTAACAGTACATTACAACTAGTACACACTTCAGGGTTTAGTGTAACTTAAAAACCTGCAGCTTCTCATGTTACAGGCATGCACAGGGCAAGTTCAAATTGTTGGTTTCAGAAATTGAAGTGTCCAGAGCCTGATGGGGCTCCAGCGGCTTTGTGTACTGTTGTGCTTTCTAGTCACAATAAAGAAACTGCTTTGAATGTTGGGACTGAGAACGAGTTACCACCTAGGTACTACAGCTACATTGGAGGTGGCACTCCGTCTTTTATTCAGACTAAGAGTTGTTGACTTTTAGAAAGTGGTAAAGCAAAGGCACAATTTTGGGGGTGT